GTGCCGCAACCTTTCGAATACGTCTTGTATTCTAGCTCCCTCTTGCCTTAATTGCAATGAGGTTCACCCATCTAACTCTTGTCATTACCAAGTTTACTTAAATGAGTGTGAAATCAGTTGTCTCAAAGAGGCAGAAGGCCTCCCATATGCTATGGCAGTCTCTCATCTACGCCTCCAAGGAAAACTTCCCCGTATTTCTTATTTTCGAGTTACTATGTGTCCCCCCTCCTCTGGGGTCCCAATTTCTGCAGCCTCCTCTGTGGTCACCCCTTCTTCAGTCACCCATGTCTCTAATTCTTTTGCTGTCCTGGCCTCAGAGGTCCCTACCTCAGCACCTCATTCTGTTCTCACATCTTCCTCCTCTTACTCAAAAGTTTCTATATCTCCAAAACCATGTATAACACCTACTCCCCATGATCCCTCTCCTCCGAAGTCCAAAACTTCTCCATTCTTCAAATCTTCTTTCACCCCTCCTTCCTTTCTTCAACCTGCACATTTTTTCCTTCCCAGTCTCTATACCTGGTTCTTCACCTCTGACTGGCTCTGTTATGAGTGTGGAGGTTCATCTTCCTCCTCACACAGTACCTTCTTCCCCTGTCCTCTTTTATGTTTCTTCCTCTTCTGCCCTTTTCCAGGTTGCTTCCTCTCCTGTCTCCTCCCAAGCTTCTCTAGTTCCCTCTAGCCATTCGTCTCCCCCTACTTTCGTACAGTCCATCGCCCCCCAATCTTTACTCACCCTCCTTCTTCCATTTCCAATATTTTACCACATACATCATCTTTGTCCTCTGAAACACTTGAAGCTATCTCAGAATATATTGAGGAGACTAGACCATTGATGGACATCGATCCACCTCCTGTTCCTCCTCTTCACTCTTCTCCATCTGCACAACTCTTTTCTTCACAACGTCCCAATCCTTTGCTGCTTAAAAGTTTTCTACTACCTCCACATGTAGACTTTTCTAACCTTACTATATACCTCTACCTTCAGATTTCTTTTATCTTTCTCCTTACAAATCATGGTTTATTTACAGAGGAATATCCGCAGTCTCAGGGGTAACCGAGGTGAGTTTGAAGTGTTGCTCTTCCAGTTTTCCCATGTATGTGTTTGTTTACAAGAACCCAAATTACGCTCCGCTGTTATCCCTCCCATCTCGGGGTACGATTTATGTTCGTCGGATCCTTTTCCCGATGGAACCTTTAATGAAAGTGCACTTCTTATACGCACCAGTATTCCATACCGTGAGCTCTTTGTTCATACTTTGCTGCATTACACTGCAGCCCATATCTACTTGAATAAGTGGTATACAGTCTGTTCTTTGTATCTTTCTCCTTCTCGGGCCTTATCTTTCACAGGTGCTACATTTCTGGTTTCTTCCTTACCACCATCACTTCTGTTTCATGGCAATTTTAATGCCCACAATTTCCTCTGGCGCGGGGTCTCAGTGTGACTCCCGCGCCATTCAGTTGGAGGTTTTTCTGGCTTCTCTCCCCCTCCATGTTTTAAATATGGGTACTCCCACCCATTTTGTTCCTCATACTTATTCTCTCTCTTGCATCGATCTCTCAGTTTGCTCTTCCTCAACTGTACTAAGCTTCACCTGATCTGTCCTCCCGGACTTGCATGACAGACCATTTTCCAATCATCCTAACTTCTCCTTCATATTCACCACCTCGTTGTAGCCCACGCAGGCTTTTTGACAGAGGAAATGGGAACCTTTACTCATATCTAACTGCTTTTAGTAAGGTTCCTTCTTCGTTCTCCAATGATGAGCTTTTACACCTCTTCTCAACCTCAGTCTTAACCCCAGCTTCACATTCTATATACCAAACCTCGAGCATTCTCAGAAGCGCATGCTTGGTGGTCTCCTACTTGTGCTCGGGCAGTATGTTTGAAACGCACTCCATAGGGCAGGTACCGGTACAATAGAACCACAGACTCCTTGATTTTAAGCAGAAGCAAGAGGTCACTCATCGTGTCATCCGTGATGCTGAATGCACTTGCTTGTGGGATTATGTTTCTATCATGACCTTTGCTTCCTCTATGAGTGCAGTGTGGAAAAATGTACGGAAACTGAGTGGTAAATACTCTCCCGACCCAGCTTCTATTCTTCGAGTTGCCAGTGTTGATATCGCAAACCCTATTGACGTTGCCACCGAAATTGGGAATTATCTTGTCCGTATCTCTGAAGGGGCTTTATCTATGCCCCTTGTCTCATTCCTCAAAGTCTGCCAGAGAGTTAGAGCCCTTAACCTTTTCTGCTGCTGGAGGCAGCACTCTCAGTTTACCGATCACCAGCAGCTGGGTCTGACAGCATTCATATTTGTATGCTACAGCATTTACATCAATCAGTCCTTGCAGTCCTCTTACGACTCATTAATCTTATTTGGTCACAAGGAGTTCTTCCCAAGCTGCGGAAATCTGCCATTTTTCTCCCTTTTCGCAAACTGGGTACTAAGGGTCATTATGCCTCCCACTATCGTGCCATTGCTCTTATCAGTGCAGTTTGGAAGATGATGGAACGTCTGGTAAATAGACTTTTGATGTGGTATTTAGAGCCGCACAACAGTCTCTCCACTAATCAATATGGTTTTCGTATGGGTCGTTCTACCATCGACCCCTTGCTAAGCTTAGATTTGTATGTTTGTCATGCCTTTACTAATTACTACTCAGTTATTGCCATCTTTTTTGATCTTGATAAGGCATATGACACTATTTGGAGGTATAATATCTTGCCCGAGGCCCACTCCTTAGGCCTTCGAGGCAATCTACCATTTTACCTTATGAACTTGTTAACTGAAAGACATTTCCATGTTCAGGTTAATAACATGCTTTCCCCGAACTTTGTCCAAGCTGAAGGTGTCCCTCATGGGTGTACTCTGAGCACAACACTTGTTCTTCTTGCTATAAATGATCTTGCCTCTGTTCTTCCATCCAATAGTTGGTCATCGCTTTATGTTGATGACTTTGCTATCGCTTGTGCAGGCGCTGTCACCTCATTGCAGTTTCTCTCCAGCATGCGGTCGACCGTGTTTCCAATTGGGCCACCACTCATGGGTTTAAATTTTCTAGTACTAAAACTCACCAAATTATTTTCACTAGACGTTCTGTCGTCTTTGATCATCCATTGTACCTATATGATTCGCGTAACCCAGAACGTGATACGGTCTGGTATCTAGGCTTTCTGTTTGACTGTAGGCTATCCTGGAAACCTCACATTACCCTTCTGAAGGCAACTTGTCATAGCCGGCTGAACCTCCTTAAAACTCTCCCTCATCTTTCTTTGGGGGCTGATTGTAGAACTCTCCTTCGACTACATTCAGCCCTAATTTTATCGAAACTCAATTATGGCAGCCAGATATATTCAGTGGCCTCTCCTGCAACTCTCTCTATCCTTAATCCCATCCATCACCAGGGTTTACGTTTATGCCTCGGTGCCTATCGTTCTTCCCTAGTTGAAAGCCTCAATGCAGAGGCGAATATTCCATCCTTATCTGATCGCCATGATGCTCATTGCCTTCGCTATTATGCTCACTCTTATGACTTCTGTAATCCTTCCATATATGAGATAGTCACTGATGTTAGTAGACGTTCTTCATTTGTTCATCGCCCCTGTTTACTCCACTCCTTTTCTCTTCGCCTACATTCGCTCTTGCCTTCTCCTCAGTTACCACCTTTCTATGTTAATGTAGCATTTCACTTTTCCCTACCCTCTTGGGAAGTTTCAATGGTTCGTGTCTGTTTTTTCCCCACTGCCATGAGCGAAAGCCCAACTGCCTATGGTGGCTTCTCAATCACTTTTTCTTAACCACTTCCCATCTCATTTTCATGTCATTGCTGTGTACACCGATGGTTCTAAGTCTTCTGACGCCGTCGGATTCGCAGCAGTGTTTCCAGACAGCGTCTTGCAAGGGCATTTATTATCCTCGGCTGGTATTTTTACTGCTGAATTGTATGCCATTCTCGTAGCACTTATCCGTTTTGCACCTATGCTTGTGTCACCATCTGTGGTAGTTTCAGACTCCCTTAGTGCTTTTCAGGCTATACGAAAATTTGATATACCTCATCCCCTGGTCTCTTCATATCTATCTTTGATTATACTGACGTACAAAGCAATGAACAGGAAGACACTGCTGTTCAGTCAGCAGTACATGACCTCCCAGTTTCATGTAGAGGTGTTCCTTTCACAGATTATTTTACTGTAATTGCTACCCACATTCGCACCCGTTGGCAACAACGTAGGTCTGATCTGCTCTATAACAAACTACAGTCTATTAAACCGAATATAGGCTTCTGGCCGTCTTCTTGACATCAGTGTCGAGGTTGGGAGACTACTCTCTCCCATCTTCACATTGGCCACACTCGTCTTATTCATGCGTATCACATGGAGAGGCGCCCTGTTCCACTCTGTGAGAATTGTCAGGTTCCAGTTTCTGTTAGCCACATTCTGTTGGACTGCCTACCCTATCAATGAGCACGCAGAATTTACCTCCATCATCATCACCACTCTACTGCCCTTACTTTACCTTCCCTTCTTGCTGATGGACCCTCCTTTAACCCAGACACTCTCATTGACTTTTTGACAGCAAACTGGTATACTACCTCAATCTCTTGCTACTCTCTACCCCTGCACTATCCACTGCCCCGCTGCACTCCATGCCCTAATAATTATCCCTCTCTCTCTTGCTACCCAATACCCCTGCATCCTTCCCTGCCTTGCTGTGCTGTATGGCCCTTGAATGTTTAGAGCTTCAAATTTTATTATAATAATAATGGATTCATATCACCAAGGTATTTCATTGAAGATATGTTGCACCGTCTGCCAAATATTTTGCTTTCCAAGGTAGTTATGTCTGTGTGCAGGTTTGACACCCGTCATTCTAGGATTTTCCAGGTGAGTTCCAGGAAGCACGGATCAAGAGACTTCAACTTGGTGTCACAAGGAAAATTTTGTACAATATATAAAAATCTTAAATGATACATGACAAGTAAAACAAAAGAACGAACAGAGACTTTATTAATATTATAAGGATTATTTTTTACGACGATTCGTTCAGGACGGAGCTTCAATAAACTCGACAAAGTTCAGTTCTGGACGAAACGTATTGTCTTTCACATTACCAGATCCTACATGCTAAGTGATACCTTGGGCGATGTAATGACATTAAAAAATTTTTGAATGAGTACTACTGTGATTATAAAAGAATTTATTAATCTTGACACTTGGTCTATACTATCTCTTGAACTGAAAAATAGTATAGTGATACCAACAGGATATGGAAAAAATACATTTACATACAGATCAGGAAATTTATTAGAGGAAAAGTTTCGCAACTGGTGGCGAAACAGTGTTCTCTAATAAATATCCTGAACTATACATGTTTTTTTTCCCCTGTCTCTTCAACAATAATATTCGGTGTATATGAGTGTAAGTTGCAGGATCTAAACACTACAATGACATAAAAGTTTAAGTCTCCCACGAGAATGAGAGGAACTGTTGTTCTTCTCTCTTAATGTTCTCATCTTATATAACCATAATTATTTTTATTTCATATTCTTAATTCAAATTAAAAATGACCTCACTGATCCTTAAGATACAAAATTCTTTACTATCTAAGTAGTCTAAAGTACCTTCATGTCACTTCTTTTATGCTCTGGGAGTAAGTTTCAAAGTGTTACCATTTTCTGGCCTGAGAATGAGCTCTCCGAGAATGCGTAAGTCTTCTCGGCGAGTGACGCTTTCTACGCGGAACTTACGCAGGATGTTACTCAGCAGGATCTTCTCCTCCATAAGTGCAAATTTCTGGCCTAGAAAAAATGTAAGATTCATAAATATATGGAAGTTATAAAATCATTATCACACTGTCCCACATGATTCTGGGTCAGTATTCAACACACACACCTCAGACACAACCATCAGGTCCCCTCCCCACAGCTTCACCACGCCCACCTCCAGACACAACCATCAGGTCCCTTCCCCACAGCTTCACCACACACACCTCCAGACACAACCATCAGGTCCCCTCCCCACAGCTTCAACATACCCACCTCCAGACACAACCATCAGGTCCCTCCCCACAGCTTCAACACACACACCTCCAGACACAACCATCAGGTCCCCTCCCCACAGCTTCAACATACCCACCTCCAGACACAACCATCAGGTCCCCTCCCCACAGCTTCAACATACCCACCTCCAGACACAACCATCAGGTCCTCTCCCCACAGCTTCAACACACACACCTCCAGACACAACCATCAGGTCCCCTCCCCACAGCTTCAACATACCCACCTCCAGACACAACCATCAGGTCCCCTCCCCACAGCTTCAACATACCCACCTCCAGACACAACCATCAGGTCCCCTCCCCACAGCTTCAACACACACACCTCCAGACACAACCATCAGGTCCCCTCCCCACAGCTTCAACACACACACCTCCAGACACAACCATCAGGTGACCTCTCCACAGCTTCAACATACCCACCTCCAGACACAACCATCAGGTCCCCTCTCCGCAGCTTCATCATACCCACCTCCAGACACAACCATCAGGTCCCCTCTCCACAGCTTCAACATACTCACCTCCAGACACAACCATCAGGTCCCCTCTCCACAGCTTCAACATACCCACCTCCAGACACAACCATCAGGTCCCCTCTCCACAGCTTCAACATACCCACCTCCAGACACAACCATCAGGTCCCCTCTCCACAGATTCAACATACCCACCTCCAGACACAGCCATCAGGTCCCCTCTCCACAGCTTCAACATACCCACCTCCAGACACAACCATCAGGTCCCCTCTCCACAGCTTCAACATACCCACCTCCAGACACAACCATCAGGTCCCCTCCCCACAGCTTCAACACACACACCTCCAGACACAACCATCAGGTCCCCTCCCCACAGCTTCAACACACACCTCCAGACACAACCATCAGGTCCCCTCCCCACAGCTTCAACACACACACCTCCAGACACAACCATCAGGTCCCCTCCCCACAGCTTCAACACACACACCTCCAGACACAACCATCAGGTCCCCTCCCCACAGCTTCAACACACACACCTCCAGACACAACCATCAGGTCCCCTCCCCACAGCTTCAACACACACACCTCCAGACACAACCATCAGGTCCCCTCCCCAAAGCTTCAACACACACACCTCCAGACACAACCATCAGGTGACCTCTCCACAGCTTCAACACACACACTTCCAGACACAACCATCAGGTCCCCTCTCCACAGCTTCAACACACACACCTCCAGACACAACCATCAGGTGACCTCTCCACAGCTTCAACACACTCACCTCCAGACACAACCATCAGGTCCCCTCCCCACAGCTTCAACACACACACCTCCAGACACAACCATCAGGTCCCCTCCCCAAAGCTTCAACACACACACCTCCAGACACAACCATCAGATGGCCTCTCCACAGCTTCAACACAGCTCCTCACCTGACCTTACAACTCCTTCAATCAGTTATCTGTCTGCTTTCGTATACCAATGTTTTCTGTTCTATGTGTAATACGAATGTTCAAGGTTCTACGACCGAAACATTTTCAGGTAAAATGCCCTAGGAATTTGCTTGCATGTTTTATCCTCAAATTCACTGTATGGGCTAAACGTCGTTAATAAAGGTTCGTTTAACTCCTTATGTGTCTCCATATCACAAATGCACATAACGAGGATGCATGGATGATGTTCTAGAAAACGATGTTCATGATTATAATAAGAGGTGGAATTAACAACAGGAAGAACAAAGTCCATATAGACAGCTGGCTTAATTAAACAATAAGCCAGAAATGGACCTAAACTTTTGCATTCTTCTATTGATTCAGTTACAGTAGGACCACCCTAGGCTGCACTTCATTGTTATATTGTGGGATAAGCGCTATAAATATAGGGGTCATACAGTATCTGGTGAAGTGGGAATGGAAGTCAATCAGGCTTGATCAAAGGAAGCAGAGCATGGCTTCAATTCCATGAATCAAAAGCCCTTCACCAGAAGTTAAGAACCCCTCAAAGGGAGGGTTTTAACTGTTGTTGTTAAATCAAGAGACACAACACGAAGTGTTCTTAACAGAAAAATCAAAATATGTAACACAGCTTTTGTTCCTGGCAAGTAAGTGTTATTTTCTAACTCCTTTTATTGCAAATCAATAAAAAATGCCCATTATTCCTTCTAAATTTTGCTTTTGTGGTTTACAGGATGAATTTTTGACAAAAAAAATGGCTAAATTCCAATATTTTTTGTTGGTTTTGGATGTAAAACAAAAACATATAATAAAATAAATAAAATTTACGTAAATAAAATGTAATTTACACAAATTTTATTTTAAACTTTCTGAAACATATTTACAAAGTTAAAAATGAACAGTTTTTCTAGATTTACGAGCATGCAACAAATTACTTTCCCGTTTAAGCCCCCAAATATAGTCTCCCATCATGTTTTCAAAGTCCATTACATTTTGGTGGAAGAGCTACCCTTGCTCCCATAATCTCTTTGAAATTGTCAAGATGAGCATCAAGGACATCCTACAGCCCATCTGACCATAGCTTTTTTCCAAGGTCTCAACAAGTTCCACATAGTTTTCAGCCCTGTTGTTGCCCACAAATCCCTGTACTATAGCAACAAAACTCTCCCAGGCGAGTTTCTTTGGAAATTCTGAGCACTCTGTGAATTTCCTGACTTGTGGTCCCGAGGAGATGCCAGCCTTCCCTTTGCCTCTGATAGCTTGGGAAAGAAGTCTTGAAGATACTTGAGAGCTGCAGACTCTTTATCAAGAGCTGTAATAAACTGTTTCATTAGCTCTAGTTTGATGTGTAATGGAGGTAACAGAATCTTTTGAGGATCCACCAATGGTTTATGTTTGATATTATGTCTTCCTACTGAGAACTCAATCCTTGGAGGCCAGTGCTTCCTCTGGAAATGTGCTGCTCTGTCTCTACTATCCCAATGACAGAGATAACAGGGAAACTTGTTGAAACCTCCTTGGAGTCCTATCAAAAATGCCACCATTTTGAAGTCTCCAATAACCTACCAGCCATACTTTTCATAGTTCAAAGCTTCCAGTAGAAGTTTGACACTATTGTAGTCCTCATTAAGATGCCTTGAATAAGACAAGGGAAGAGATGAATACTTGTTTCCATTGTGCAGAAGTACAGCTTTAAGGCTTCTGGAGGAGCTGTCAATGAAAAGTCTCCACTCATCTGGATTGCATGCAATTCCAATTGCATCAAACAGGTCTGATACATCATTACAGTAGCACAACCTGTCTTCATTAGCGAACAAGCTTGAGAAATGTTGGCGACGTTTTCTTTGGCTTGTCACTTATACACTTTCATCCACCAAGTCCCACTCCTTGAGCCTTGAAATCAAAAGCTCAGCATTTGATTTTGTCAAACCCAGATCTCTGATGAAGTCATTGAGGTCTGTTTTTGGTAGCAAGGATTCTTCCCAACAGCTGCATCTGTGAGATCATAGCCTTGTTCACTGCTTTTATTTTCCGATTTGCTGCTTTCTTCTTCTGATGGTTGACTTCTTTCTGAAGGTGTAGGTACAGGAAGATCAGCACTGTGTGGTACTGGTGCAATAGAAGAGGGAAGGTCTGGATAAGAAGTAGCAGGTGCATTTTTCCAGTTCGGCGTGTGGAAGGGTCCACTAGACAGAAGTAGCAGTTGGTTGAGTGGTCAGTGGGTTCACGCCATATTCTAGGAACACCAAACTTCATGATTCTTTTTCTCCTCTGTACCATTTCATTTAAAAAATGTTCCTATTCATGATTTTACCCTTCATATAGCTAATGACTTTCTTACCTTCCAGTGGTTTCATTCAATGTTCACAAGCAATGTGAGGTGCCCAGGTCTTGTCTTGGTCCCCTGCTGGCATGCCAAAATATGCATTGTAAGCTTCACACCATTGAATTGACCACATATGTAACAGAATACATCTGGAGAATGACTGCAGCCTCTTCATGCCATTTCACATCTTCTGATGTGTCTTCTCAGGTAGACAGAGCTGAACTGAATGCTGGTTTGTGAGCCCCTGTTTTTATATTTGCCAAGCAAAACCCTATGACATAATAGTTTTACATCAGTCTTTCTTGAAAGTGTTCCAGAAGTGTCTTGACCACAAAAGCAAAGTTTTGGGGTCAAAATTACATTTTTATATTTTGTTTATTTATAATGAATTGGGAAATGATGCTTATTTCCCAGGAACACGACAAAAGTGAATTTTAGTTACATAGTGTAATCAATCATAAAACTGTTACAATCATAAAAGAACGCTAAAGCTGTAAGAGTCATTTAGCTTATATTTGGTAGTATTTTTTTCCAAAATTACATTCAATTCACAATTTATTCTCCAAGATTTGAAATAAATATGAAGAGAAGAATAAAGGCCCACTGCTGAATTTACAGGCCAAGGTTGATGTGCAATCACAGCTCCTCTCAAAGTTCCACTTAAGCTGAGAGTCATGTATTAAGTTAACTTCATGTAAATAAGTTACAGTATGAGGTCTATGGCATTTTATTGAATCGTTTCTTTCCAAAGAGTATTTTTCAATTTATAAAGTCCCTGGTGGCCAAAATTTTCTCAATGAAATGTCATAAACTACATATTATGTCTTATCAACATACTTGTAGGTGCATAACACCATTAATGTACAAAGTTAATTTCAGAAAATATGACATCATATTTTTGTACTGTATTTCCATACTTGATTATATGTCTGAAACAGAACCTGTGATGGACTCACCGATACAGTTCCTGGGTCCAGCGCTGAAAGGAATGTAAGCGTAGGGGTGTCGCTTGCTGACATTCTCCGGTAAAAAGCGATCCGGGTCAAAGACTTCCGGTTTGGGAAACTGTGCTGGGTCACGGTGAAGGCTGTAGGTCACCACCATCACAGTGGTGCCAGCTGGGATGCGATAATTATCTGCATAATATTCAGTAGTTAATATGTGCTAAATTTGTAATGTAAAGGTGTACATATAATTAATATGAATATATTTCAAATAGTACAAAAAATCAAATTACTTTTATTGAAAATCTAAAACAAAAGTTACATAATACCAATGTTATTTTCATATTCGAAAACAAGCGCTAAACCTGTATGGATGACAACGCACTTCACTCGTAACATAGACTCAAAAATTACTAAGCAGCCAAATGAGAAACATTTTGATTATGAAAGAGTTTCTTTCAAAAAAAAAAAAAAAAGTTAATTATGAGATTCATCTGTTAGTTCCAGCCTTCAGTGTTGCAAAACGATTCATTACCGCATCCCAAAGATTTTTTTCAGGCATTAATCGATCCTTATAGGTTTAGCATTTCCCTTTGATAATACAGATAATTTGATTCCTACCTATAACAGCCTCCTCTCTGAGCTCTCTGGCCAGGATAGGCACAGAAGGGAAGAGTCTGAGTGCCTCTTTGATGCAGTTTTCTGTGTACTTCATCTCACGCAGGTCAGCCATGGTCACTGGACGGTCTGAGTCACCGAAGATAGACTGCAGCTCCTCATCAACACGGGCCTCCAGAAAGTACATACTTATAAACTCATATTGTCTTTCTTTCAGGTTTCTGTGATGTGGAAAATAATTTTCCCAAAAATTATGCTGTATATTTTAATAATGTAAATATACCTGATTAATACATTACTATTGCTCTAAAGTGTATTTTAAAGAAGAGAATCGACAGGGAAGCTGTGTGCCTGCGCTGACGAGCAGGGGAAGAGATGCCATTGTTTATGAATGTGATACAGGCACGCTAATGAAATGTGCATAATTTTCGTCACTCTAGGGGTTATATTGGGCTTAAAACGTCTCAAATAGGAGCCGAAATTGTTGGATTTGCAGTCCTGCATAATGTGAGCATTAAGCAGATGGACAGGACAGCTTCAGAACCCCAGCTAAGTCATGTCTATTTATGGTGAGATTCTGGCCAGTATTTTCTTCAAAAATTTAGGCAGGGGTCTGAGTATGACACACCATAATCTCAAGACTAATTTTTAGGTTTAAAAGACCTAAAATTTTATAAGCTATTTGGAGTCAGAAGAAGTTGAGTGGATAAGTAATTATGAATTTCTAAAAATTAAATTTAAGAAGGAATCTACTGAAATTCTTTCGATTAAAATAGGTATAAATTCTCCTTCAATGTATATGTATTCACATTTTAAATTTAATATACAATCCAGAATTCCTGGTGATGTATATTTCATTTGAAATTAATATAGATCCAGAGTGACTTCTGGAGAGATAGATAATAGTAGGTATTGAAGGAGGACATTTTTTGCTAATCAACTAATCAATCTATCCCAACAAATAATATGCCTTTGCCAAAACTCACAGAATTATGTTTACCTGTATTTAATCCTGGAGAAAATTGGGAGGAGTTTTGGTCAATTTTTAAAGCAGCTGTGCATGATAGGAGTGCCCTAGTCTGTGTAACTACATTATTTTACCTAAAAGGACAGATAAGAGGAGATGCTCACATACTCATAAAAGTCTTTCCCAATGTAGATGACTCTTACAAGGAAGCAGTTGACTTGTTGAAGGTCACTTATGGTAATATAGAACAAAGTATGTTGGATCTAATGAGTACCATTGTTAATTTAAAAACTCCAGATCATACTAACAAAGGTTTACAGCAGTTTAGAATTAAACTGGAGAGCACTCTCAAAACTTTAAGTAATAAATATAATCTGAAGGAATCAGACTGGTTATTGAGTACGATTGTACAGAATAAATTAAGCTGTAAAACACTTGGGGAAAAATTATCCCAATGTTAATAATCAAAATTCATTTCCTAAAAAGAGTTGCATAGGTACATATCAAGTAGCCAGAATCTTTTTTTTTTTTTTTTTTTTTTATTTAAAACATTACAATACAAGGTGGAAAATTATATCAAGGTACACAAAAGAGGTAAATCACAAATTCCCAATTCACCCTTACAAAAATGGATACAACAGACAAAAGTTTTGACACTAATATCACACACAGTATACACCCAGTTATACCAGAGTTATATACCTGTGAAGGCTGAAACTTTTGACACAATTTCACCCCCCCTCTCCCGCCAAATATAACCATTCCCAACCTGATTGCATCTTAACTTAACATTAAAGGATACATAGGAATTACACTGTCATGAGTGAAAGTAACATCTTGGACACAAAATATTATAACAATTAATGGGTACAATGTCTTTACTTAACACAATGACACCTACACCTGGGAAAGAAAAATGCAAAAGTTTAATTTTCTAAGAAGGTTGCAACAATGAATGTCAACACCCAAAGGCAACTTATGTGCAATTATCTTAGCATGTAACCTATTCATTCAACACAGTAATAAAGAAAACTTAATATATGAAAAACACACAGGATACAAGGTATAAGTATAAACCCCAGCCATGTAGCGGCTACAAGCAAAATTCACATATTCCTAACACAGATAAAACAAAACAAAATTTTGTGACAACTGCACCTAAACACAACTCACATCATATGACTTAAGACTGATATACACATAGATAACAACATAATAATATGACTTAAGACTGCTATGTACATAGATAACAACATAATAATATGACTTAAGACTGCTATGTACATAGATAACAACATAATAATATGACTTAAGACTGCTATGTACATAGATAACAACATAATAATATGACTTAAGACTGATATATACATAGATAACAACATAATAATGTGACTTAAGACTGCTATGTACATAGATAACAACATAATAATATGACTTAAGACTGCTATGTACATAGACAACAACATAATAATATGACTTAAGACTGCTATGTACATAGATAACAACATAATAATATGACTTAAGACTGCTATGCAAATAGATAACATAATAATATGACTTAAAACTGCTATGTACATAGGTAACAACATAATAATATGACTTAAGACTGCTATGTACATAGATAACAACATAATAATATGACTTAAGACTGCTATGTACATAGATAACATAATAATATGACTTAAAACTGCTATGTACATAGGTAACAACATAATAATATGACTTAAGACTGCTATGTACATAGATAACAACATAATAATATGACTTAAGACTGCTATGTACATAGATAACAACATAATAATATGACTTAAAACTGCTATGTACATAGGTAACAACATAATAATATGACTTAAGACTGCTATGTACATAGATAACAACATAATAATATGACTTAAGACTGCTATGTACATAGATAACATAATAATATGACTTAAAACTGCTATGTACATAGGTAACAACATAATAATATGACTTAAGACTGCTATGTACATAGAAACAACATAATAATATGACTTAAGACTGCTATGTACATAGATAACAACATAATAATATGACTTAAGACTGCTATGTACATAGATAACAACATAATAATATGACTTAAGACTGCTATGTACATAGATAACAACAACATAATATGACTTAAGACTGCTATGTACATAGACAACAACAACATAATATGACTTAAGACTGCTATGTACATAGATAACAACATAATAATATGACTTAAGACTGCTATGTACATAGATAACAACATAATAATATGACTTAAAACTGCTATGTACATAGGTAACAACATAATAATATGACTTAAGACTGCTATGTACATAGATAACAACATAATAATATGACTTAAGACTGCTATGTACATAGATAACAACATAATGATATGACTTAAGACTGCTATGTACATAGATAACAACATAATAATATGACTTAAGACTGCTATGTACATAGATAACAACATAATAATATGACTTAAGACTACTATGTACATAGATAACAACATAATAATATGACTTAAGACTGCTGTGTACATAGATAACAACATAATAATATGACTTAAGACTACTATGTACATAGATAACATAATAATATGACTTAAGACTGCTATGTACATAGATAACATAATAATATGACTTAAGACTACTATGTACATAGGTAACAACATAATAATATGACTTAAGACTACTATGTACATAGATAACAACATAATAATATGACTTAAGACTACTATGTACATAGGTAACAACATAATAATATGACTTAAGACTGCTATGTACATAGATAACAACATAATAATATGACTTAAGACTGTTATGTACATAGATAACAACATAATAATAAATCTAATTTGAATGGATCACAGTTGATCAATCAGCCTTAACATATCAGGCGTTAGAGAGTAATTCTCATAGTACAAGTCCAAGTCCAACATGCATGTAGTCCCATCTTTCTACATACAATAATAAGCGTATTATCTACACATTATACTACAACACACTGGACAAGCAACTGTCCATCACTTCCAATCAATATACTGCCCTACCCTCACTCTGCACAGTGATGTATGCAAACCCCCCCCTTGAATACCTTATCCATCATTCACTACTACCTTGAAGGAACATGAGTACTATATGAATAGTGTATAGTCCATGACACACAAAAAAACTGGCCAGCTCCACGGGTGCTAGCATCCGTGGTCCATACATTATTCACTCACGCATCACTCATCCAACACACACGTAAACATTTGTTGTCATCCATTACCAGGGAGGCGACACTGTTTTTACCCATGGCTTCCCTACCCCAGCAACACTTTCCAATCTTACCCTCCCCTCCCTCATATATTACAAGTCTAATAAAACCTGTAACGTAAGTTGCCTATATCCCTCTGAAAAATCCCTCACCCACCTCCTCCCATAAATTTCCTTATTTCTACATACCGTTTTATAGAACGTTACCGCTAACACCCTCCTCTTCACCTCACTAACCTGTTTCCCCCGCAATCCCCACACTATATATATATATTATATATAATCTGCCATAATGTACCCCACAGCTCTGATTACACTTTCCTCCCAACCCCCCACGTCGAGACTTAATGCTCTCAATACAGAAATTCCTTGACCTCCTATCCTATATATCACTCTATTTAACCACCCCTTGACACTCCTCAGTCCATCACAAAAATATACTACATGAAAAGCCGACTCCTCCCCACCACATATCCCGCACCCCCCCCCCCCCCCCGTCAACGACCCATCTGTCTCGTAGAACCACACCCGACGGTAAAATGCCGTGCAGAAAACGATACATTACATCCCGAACACGAGGTTGCAACCTCATCCTACTCAACCTATTCCATATACTTCCCCATGCATGCATGGGGAAAATTCCCTCTACAGGCGCTACAACCATCCCGGCTAACAATCTACACAACCTACCTATTTTAACCTTTGCTGGCTCTCGATCCCACGCCAGAGCCCTCAACACAGTTTCACACTCATGCAACTCAACTCCTGTATACATCCGTTGCAATCTGTTATGGATCCTGGCCAAACACCCCCCACCCACACTTTCCCTCATCACCTCCCTTTTAATGAAGACACATTTGACCCTCCGCTTTAAGTCCAACAATCCCAGCCCCCCCTTACTTACAGGTAACATTACCACGTCCCTTTTAATCCAATCACAGCTCGAACCCC